CCCTACACACACACATGCCCTACACACAAACATCACACACACCACATATAACATACACCATATAACACACACACTGCATACAGCATACACCACACCAGACACACACACACACACACACACACACACACACACGCCCTACATGCATGCATGCCATGCACACACCACATATAGTATACACCACAGACACACAACCATCACATACAGCATACACACACATATACACACATACATATCACACTACACACACCACAAATACATACTGCACACACACACACATACACATACACACACACACACACACACACACCCCATACATACAAAATTGAGGCTCTAAAATTTGACTGCCAATGTTTTCTGGATAGACTGTTTCTTGGGGCCCCCTGGGCTCTAAGAAGGTTTCTATTCCCTTTGAGACTCTCTGGGAGACGGCAGATCGGGTCCTTGTCTGTTTGTGGTCTCTGAAGCTGTTGTATGTTAGACCCCAGAGTCTACACCAGCCTCAGACCATGGTACAGGCTTTGGAGACACAGCAGAAGACTGTGTTTGGCACAGTAAATTCAGTTACTGGAGGAGACTAGTCCTGCTCATCAGGTCAGGTGGGCAGCCAGTGAGGACCTAGGAGATGTCCTCAATCCTGAGTGTCCCAGGGAGCCCTGCAAGGGGCTACAAAGTGAGCCATTAGGGAATGGCCCTTGGGTGAAACTGTGGCTCTGCTGCACCATGGCCCTCTTCTTGGAACAGCCTTATTTCTCAGAGGTCAGCAAGTCGGCTTAACCAACTGCTCATGAGAGAGGGAGCAGGATAAGTTAGTTGTTTGTTTGACAGAGGGAGACATGGAACAGGGTGCCGGGTGCAGTGCCTGTACCTTTAATCCCAGCACCGGGGAGGCAGAGACAGGCGATCTCTGTGATTTCGAGGCCAGCCTGGGCTACATAGTGAGTTCCAGGACAGCCAAGGTTACATAGTGAGACCCTGTCTCAAACAGGGATTTGGAAAGCAGAAAAAAAACAGAACCAATGGCCGTGGAATGGGAACATGCATTGCTCAAGAGTGCTTAGACCCATGGCACATGGATCCCAGAGGGAAGAGGAGATGGGCAGGGTGGGGACAGCACCTATTGCTACCACCCCTCTCTGTCTGTGAATGGAGATAGGTCACAGTGTCTCAATCCCTGCTTCCTTTCCATCTTCTCCCTCAAAAGGAACTGCCGAGAACGAGGAGGATGCAAAATCCAAACAGACGCACAGGTCCCCAGCGGCTGCGTGTGTCTGGTTACAGCATGCCACCATGCTGGCGTAGGCCGCACGGTGCAAAGGTCAGCAGTGAGAGCTCAGGGCCGGGTGCATGGGTGGCAATACCACTCAGCGCTGATGGCTTGGAGACTGAGGGGGCCACGCCCACCTTCTAAGTGACTCATAGTATTGACCTCACTTGTACCTGTGGAGGCCAAAGATGCCTGCTACAAGACGGGGCCCAGCAGCTTGCACTTGGTATTCATTATCGAAAAAGTGCAGTGTACAGACTAAAATCTGGCCTCCCAGAGGCTGAGATGGTGTGTTCCGTGTGGCACAGCCTTCAGAAGGGCCGTGGCCATCACCTACATTCCTGAACCCTGTTCCCACATTCCATTCACATGCACTTTCCTATCCAAGGTAAACATTCTGCTGTGGAATCTTGTACTTTGCATTTATTTATGTTTGTTTGCTTATTTATTTTACTGTGGTACTGGGGATGAATCCCAGGACATGAAGGGTGTCAAAAACATCTTTGATTCCCAGCTATGGTCTCACTGCATTAAAAAAAAAAAAATCACAAGTCTGGTTTTTAGTATTTTGGGGTAACCCTGGCTCGGTGCAGTGTGGTCCTGTGTAAGGGCACAGCCTATGTTGATACAGTTCTTGGTTTGGTTTCCCAGAGTCCTGGGCTAGGTAAGGACTTCCATCTGAAAGAAAGGAGAGGGTGCTGGGTGGGCATAGGGGTGGGAGGGGATGAGCCCTGGACTGTGGGAGAGCTCAAGGCACTTCGCGAGCAGGTAACGAGGTCTAGCCTGGCCCATCTTGACTATACCTGGACTCTGGCTGCGGCCGAGTCTCAGGGCTCAGCCTGTGCAGGCCTGGGGTTGGTTCTAGGAGAGCGGGCTGACAGTCTTGTCCTTGCATCTTCAGTATCAGGTCGACCTCCCCCAGCTGGTGACCCGGAGGCTGCAGGTCTCTGTGTGGCACCTGGGCACCCTTGCCCGGAGGGTGTTCCTCGGAGAAGTGATCCTTCCTCTGGCCACGTGGGACTTTGAGGACAGTTCAACACAGAATGCAAGATGGTATCCACTTCGGGCCAAGGTGTGTCTTGGGGAGCGGGGTGTGTATATTTGTCAGTTTTCTGTGGCTGTGATAAAACACCATGACCAGAAGCCACTTACAGAGGGTGTGTGTAGTTTTGGCATACGGTTCCCGATGGATAGAGTCCGTCATGGCAGGGAGGTACAGCAGCAGGGCAGGATGCTTGGAGATTGCTCACACCTTATGGGCGAGCAGGAAGCAGAAAGGGCAAATGATGCGGGGTGAGGTTCTGAACTCTCAAAGCCCACCCACAGTGACACACTTCCTCAAGCAAGGCTCCGGCTCCCCAAACAGCACCCCCTACTGGGAACCAAGCATTTAAATTCATGAGCCTGTGGAGTGACATTTTTCATTCCAACTACACAGGGGCCAACCGTGCCCAGTCGCCTTGAACTCACTTCTTTTTCAGAGGATAAACCATCACTGCCCCCCCCCACACACACTCTCTCTCTCTCTCTCTCTCTCTCTCTCTCTCTCT